GTGGTGACCACACAATTCTTCTTAATATGATTAAACTATTACATTATTTGATATGTGAATGATATGCCAACAACACTATTCTTATATAGTTTAAATCATTTTACTGGAGACTCTTATAGCTCTTATAACATTCCATACATCAATTGTATGAAGTATATTTGTACATATGTTGCCATCAACTTTTCCAAAACATTTTCTACATGAACCCTTGGTATCAGCTCCTCTTTTTTCCCCACCCTTGTGACTCCTTGATCAATTATATATTGTTACTATTATTTTGTATCCTACACTGTCTCACTGTCTGGTCTCTCTTCACCCACGTTTCTGTTACTCATCCCCTTCGGGTGGGGGGACGACAACATGTAAATATATGAATTTCTAATGAAAGGGATAGAGGCCAATGTATATATATATATTTATATGATAAGTATTAAGATAGCAGACGAACTCAAGGCCCTTTGACACAAGAACAGTTTGTTCTGACAACCTGGCACTCTGTGATGCTCACCTTCAAGACAGGCTCACTGCAGACAAAATGAGTGCATAGACAGCGTGGTGAGGACAGAGGATGGGGCCCGTCTGTCAAAAGATAGAGCACTGGGGTCTTAAAGACTTGAGGTCAAACAAGCAGCCATCTAGCAGGGAAGCAAACAAAACTATTCTTAAAAAGAAAATATGTGCAGTTCGAGCACTGTCATGACCCATCTTAATGTCGAATGTGAACAAATGTCTCAAGAAGTCCAACGAGCCCTAAATTATATTTACGTTCTGTCGCTGCACGTTAGAGGAGGGATTTAGCAGAGGAGCGTATTTCATTCTGTTGTGCGTAGGGTCGTTGTGGGTCGCAACCGACTTGATGACACCAAACAACCACAACTGTAGAGGAAGAGCTGAATTCTAGGTTCTTACTGATGAAAATGCGTTTGCAAGAGGCTGCAGAATGGTCACATTGTGTCGTTGGGCTCCTTATGAAGCCATTCCTGCTTCTCGAGGGCAATTTAAATCTCAACTCGAGATTCAAAGAGACATTAGAACATTGTGGCCCGCGGGTCATGGTGGACCTATACAATACTGGGTTGCCATGGACTGAGATGAACTAAATTGCAACTGGTTTTCCATGCAACTTGAACAAGTCAGGCTGGGGTGGCTTGGACATTGTCCATATAGCATCGGTTGGGGCTTTTCTGCCGGGGCCACGCTCTTACCCCATTCCACCGGAATAGCAGAGCATAGATGTAGTCTCACTCCTGTGGAACTACTTGCACCTGCCTTCTCCCTTCATGCCAATGATCTATCACTCATTCATATTTAGTTTATTGCACTAATAATTTTATCCGGAAATCTTGTGTCAGCTGTGTAGTTGTATTGAAGACCATCCCAGAAACCGTCCAAATTTTGTCTGTATTCCACGTCATTCAAATGAACTAGTCATATTAGGAATTAGTCTGCATCATTGGAAACTTGGGTGGTGTGATACCCATGTTTGTTGTTTGGGTGACCAGAGCTTTATAACACATGTCTTCAGAATAGAAAGGGCATGAATTCCTCTTTCTCCTCTCTTCCTGCTTCCGACATATTTACTTACTCTCCCTAGTGGAATCAGCAAGCTCTCCTGAGCATCACTTTAGCGTGCACAGGCCTAACTCCGACGGACATGGGCCAAAATGGAAGCAGGTCTCTTTTTTGTTTTTCTGCAGCCTATTGGGATCTGGGATGGATTATGATGTGCTAGAACTTGGCTGGAGAGGCACTCCACATCACATGGGGCATTTAAATATTCATACCATCCCTTCTGCCAGCTAATAAGATTGCAAATTTTGCCCAGGAACAAAAAATAAAGCAAAAATAGAAGATAATTGCTGAATTTCATTACATTTAAAAAATGACTGTTATGAACCAAACTCTAAATTCTGATTTTAGTCCAATATCTCAGCCATTTTGTAAATATATGCAAGTTGGGAGAATAGGTAAGTGATCGTGTATTTCTGAGTATTACCAGAGTGTGTTATGAGTATCAGATACTTACCTGACATTAATCCTATAAAACCAGTTTCTTATGCCACTGTCAAAATCCTCTCTGTTATAATACTCGGCTGCTAACTTGAAATAAAAATCAACACATTCCACTTGCCACCTGCTTTTAAAGTGCAGCAAACCCCCAAACTGAGGCTTGTTGCTGTCAAGTCAACTCCAACTCCCAGCAAACGTGTAAGACAAAAGAAACTTCCCCACAGAGGATCCAGCGCTGCGATATTCCATGAGCTGTCTGCCCCATCTTTCTCCTGCACATTGGCTGGTGGGTGTCACCTGCTGATCTTGGAGTTAGCAGTTAAGTTCTTCACCACAGCCCCACCAGGAGCCCCGGGGTTGTCATGCACATTGGAACTTATAACGAATTGAGCAACATGATACACTAAGCTGGAAGAAAGGCCCAGTTCTTATTGAGTATACTATTGAGCATCAATTTGATGCTGACTCATAGTGACCCCATAGGGCAGGGCAGAACTGCCCCTGTGAGTTTCTGAGACTGTCACTCCGTACAGGAGTAGAAAACCCATCTTCCTCCTGAGAAGCCCCTTGTGGTTTCAAACTTCTGGCCTTGTGGATTGCAGCCCAATATGTAACTACTCTGCCACCAGGGCTTATTATTGCTTAGCCTCGTGACTCATAACTACAGACATTTCATACAGTGCAATCAATGGACACTCTACATTCTTGATTATTGCAAAAAACAGTGTGAAAGGGGAGGATGATATTTGATCTCCTTTAGCTTTCCTCTTGCCACAAGGCAGAGGTCAGACATGTCTCTAAGCATCATCTTTCTATTCCTATTCTAACACCAACTGTTATCATTCTACTTCTCTGCTGGGTCCAATAACTCGTCGCAGTGGCCACACAGAACTCTCTGGTGGTACTCACCTTTAAGGGGCTTCTGAGAAGAGGTAACAGGTTACCACAAATCAGTACCAGTAAACAGTAAGGTTGCAGTCATTGGTCCGTACCAACACCTCTTCTTAGCCTGCAGCCAAGCCTCTTTCCTGTCCTTAGCATCTCTGCCATCTGGTCCTTTGGCCTCGGCCTCTGTGGACCAAAAAGCCTGTGACTGCGTCACAGCCTGATAGTCTGGACCCTGCTGCTTGCCTCAGCTCCTGTCCTCTGGTCTCTGTGCCACAGTCTCTAGTACCTTTGGTCTCGGCCTCTGGTCTCTTCAAACATGCTCTTCTTTGATGGTCCTGGGATTTCTCTGTGCCCGAGATGGTTCCTTTACACTGATGGGTGACTTGGATGGTGCTGAGCTTTTTGTCTCTCAGCAGACCATACCTCAAAGGAACAAAGGGTGGGACTTGGTTCCCACCCTATACAAAAGTCAGCATTTAATCCCACCTTCATCCTGCCCATTCGAATAGCAGAGTACTTCCTCTCAAATGGGATTATAGCCACAGGCACAGGGTCCAGAATTAGATCACATGGCTATCAGAGCTGTATTAATTAACTACATCTCAATTATCAATGGAGATACCAGATAATCCAGTATCTATTCTTTTGTTTTGCTTTGGGTTGCCACCTTTGCCCCTCGTAGTTAATTTTGTTTTTGTTGTTTGGGCTCATAAAATTTAGTTAAGATGAATTACTTTCATAATTTCAGATAATATTAATGTTAACCTTGGTACTGCAATCGGACCTCAGGTTCCTTCTTCATGGGAACATTTACTGACTAGAAATGTATTCCATCATATTTTTTTCTAGATCTGTTAAGGAGTTCTGACTTTATCAAGTTTAGAGTGTCTCAATATGGTTTGTAGAAATGTAAACATCAAAAATGCCTTTATCAATTTGCCCTTTCTAAAAACATTATCAAGGTTAATTGAAAACATGTAAATTCAGATAAAAAAGCGGCTGCTGAGGCTGCCTCTGTACAACTAATGCCCCATAGAAATTAGTGTCTTGGCTTAAAGCTTTAGGGACATAGTTTCCTGGGACATCAGAGTGGATTGGCTGAATACTAATGTTTTCAGGACATCGTTTCTACCTCCACATTCACTGTATAGTGCCTGCAATCTCATAACCTTGCAAGCAGCCATCTAAGTACAATTGGTCTCTACTCGGCTGGAACATCAGAGAATGAAGAATTAGGACTGAAAACAAAAACCAAAAAACCCTGGCTACCATCGAGGCTGCCCACGGCGACTCTCTCTGGAAGCTGTGGCTACTTGTCTCTAAGACCTGCCAGCAGACCAGAAGAACCTGAGTGTGCTTGGCTAGAAGTAATGGAAAGTTCACTCAAAGATTCTACAGAAGAATTTTGATCAAAAGGTGGAGGTTGTTGAAGAGAATATAAAATTCTCCTTGAATCCAGATTTTTGGAGTCATTGAACTTGGATGAACTTCCTAAACTATTCCCTGGTACCCTTTACACCATAAACAAAAATTGTCCTGTGCAATCTTCTTCAATTCTAATTAATACAGAATGTTTACCATGAGCACTATGCTATTTTGAAGAACTATCTATATGGGATCAAAAACAATACAAATGGTTATATAGGAAGCCTATCAGGCAGAAAGTATTTTTTATGTCAATGGGGTGACAGAACAATTTGGAAGTGAACTACTTGAAATAAATGCTACTAGGTTGTAACTGTAGAAATTATTGAATTGATACGTGCTCTTCTATGTATACTTTGAACAAAAATATATATGTATAAATAAATCATTAAAAGGGAACATGGATTCATTACAATAAAAAAGTCAGCATATTTATGCTCAATGTTCATAGCTGATTAATAATGTTATATAAAAATGACCCATCCATGTAAGTAAAATAAGATGATTGATTGTTTCTCTTAAAGTCTGCTTTTAAGAAAATTTTTTAAATTGTGTAAACTATAGTTAATTATTTGAACCATGTACACATGTGTGTATATTTAAACATAATGTGTTCCATATGTATATATTTAGGAAATAGTTTCATGAAAAGTCTTGTTTTTCGTTTAATATTTCAGATGTATATTACCAACACAATCAAAACCAAAGGAACAAGACTTGCTAAGCCTGTTCTGTGCTTGAGCTTAATGTGTTTGGCCTTTCTTACTGGACTCAACAGAGTAGCAGAATATCGAAATCATTGGTCAGATGTGATAGCCGGCTTTCTGGTTGGCATATCTATAGCAGTATTTTTGGTAAGTACAGGTTTATTTATATTTGACTGGGCTTAAAGTAACCTTGTAAGAAAACACAAGTATGAATCATTAGACTTGTCTAAATGTGGTATATCAAATGGTAATACATCTTAAGTCATTCATTCTTCCTCCTCTCCCACATGTTTTGCCTCAAGCCAAGTTAGCGGGGTGTGAAGAATATAAATTAAACACTTAAAGTTCATAAAATGCTCTCTTACAAAACAAGATGAAGCTAAGTGCCCTCGGGCCTTCATGGCCACTCCTTAAGCTGGGATTGTTGGGCAGTTGTTTGTGCTTCCTCTGGGCAGTTTGCGTCTCCTAGCATCTGGGACATCTGAAAGTGGCTCCCACAGACTCTCCACCAGGCTGTGCCTTAGTGTGCTCCCTGAGTGAAATCCCTGGTGGCATGAACCTTTCTACTTCAGTGGCTGTGAGTGTCTGGACGATTTCAAAGACAATGGCATCTTAGGCACAATTCTACTCAATAATGAAGAGCATGTGCAGTGGCTTCTAATGAAGTAAGCACACCATCTAAACTCCCAGTGTTATATTTGTGTGTGTGTTCGTAGACTTTAGTTGTTGTAAAAGATATTTTCATCAGATTTTAGAATTAATCGGTGCATTATAAATATGGGCATGCCATATTTTACTTAGATAAAGAAATATATATGTATATGAACTGTAAGTCAAAACAAAATGTTGCATAGATAAACACTATAATTTAATAAACACTTTATTTCCATCTTGATTGGATTTAAATTGGCAATTACTTCTCACACTTAATTTTCCTTTCTTAGGCTCTTTTAACTGTTAATAACGAGTAAGAAAAAAGATTATGTGAGCCTTTTAAGCTAGCGACTGCTACCAACTATTTGAACACAATTTGTATCCTCTGCATTTTACTAGACATTTCATACAGCCTATTTCCTTTAGATCTCCTGTTAGGGAGTAGTGACCATGTTCTCCCCTCTGTTTTACTCTCCATTGTTTGTTTTCTTCCCCCACCTCCCTTTTAGCATGACTCTCTCTGATTCCCGAAGACCCCCAAAAAACTTAAGCCCACCTCTCTCTCCCATAGATATTCTGCAGCATCATGAAAACAGGACCTAGGCGGCACCCAAACTTCTTCCTTGCTTTCACCTAATGCAGCTGAGACTAGTTAACATTAAAAAAGAAACAAGCACCCTTTTTTACCCACCCACCCCCACCCCCAAAATTCCTAGACTTATCAAATCAAAGGACATTCCAATAACTATAATTCCAAAACACTGGTATAAGGTGTGTTTGCATTTCAGTTTCTTGGGTCTAGAACAGTGGTTCTCAACCTTCCTAGTGCTGTGACCCTTTAATACAGTTTCTCATGTTGTGGTGACCCCTAACCATAAGATTATTTTCATTGCTACTTCATAATTGTAATTTTGCTACTGTTATGAATCGGGTGACCCCTGTTATGAATCGGGTGACCCCAAGGGGTCACGACCCACAGGTTGAGAACCGCTGGTCTAGAACATCTTCACTGACACCTCCCCATGTTTCCAGCTTATCTCCCTTTACTACCAATAAACATTGCTCATGATACTTTGTCAGGTCACATCGAAAGCTAGTGTCTCCCAGCCCCTCAGTCTGAGAACCATGTGGTAGAGGATAAGTTCAAGTATACACCCCTCTTGGCTACAGACCCTTCTCTGGGAGAAATTCAGAGCATGTCATGATGTCACTTCAAGTGAGCACGCCACCGAGAAAATGACCATATAAAACAGTCATGCAAAAACATCTTAACCAGAAAATAAATAAAATTAAATCTTATATTCATTCACAAGAATTCATGAGTGTAAATCTCCACCGGTGCCAAGAGCTAGGGATACAGGCAGGCACAGATACAGACCCTTCTCTCTGCTTTAGGAACCCAAATATGACTTGAGTTTCAGAATAGTTAAATTGTTCCCCACACACTCATTTTATGGCTTCCTTCATAAATAGCTTTTATGGGACACCTGCTATAGTCCAGGCATTGTTTGATGCTGGGCATAGATATGTGAGAACGGTACAACCGTACATTTAAATAGGTGACAGTCTATTGAGAGGAGATAGACAGAGGCCTTTCGTTGTTGCTTCTGGCTAATGGCATCCTTAGCTACAGCAGACTAAAGGAGCCCTCTTCCTGCTGCTGGTATGTTCCAACCCACTTGCACCCGCCCGTCGGTGTGGAAAGTTGCCCTTGTCTTCATGGATTGTGTTCTTTACTCAGAACGATGGCCTTCTCAGCAATTGTTTTTTCTTGTTGCTGTCCTAAGTAAGCAAGCTGAATTCTCGAGATCTTCCCTTCTAACGAAGGTTGTGTTTCTTCCACGAGGGACATCTTCATTCTTTTGGCATTCCAGCAGTCTGCTGCACAGTCTTTCCCAGCACTGCATTGCCCGTGTATCAGTTGGTCTTCTGTCTTCTGATCCTATGCCCAGCTTTCACATGCATAATCGGTGATTGAAGAGGCTATGGCTTGGGACACGTGCCTCTTTAAGAGGCCAACTTTTTGTTAGCATTAGTGACAAAAACCAGAAAGAGGAGGCGATATATAAGTTTGAAAGGTTTGCAGAGGTCTAGTTTGGGTTTTAAGGAATTAAGTGAGGAAAGGGCACAGAGCCCACAACCAAACGCAACACCTCATGCAGTTAAGTGGCTGCTGAGCCCATAGTTTAATCCAGACCCAGGGCAGTGGGTGCATGTGATACCCAGCATTCTGGGCATGCTACCACATGAGCGGCAAAAGGGCAGAATGGAAAGAACACAAGAAAACTACTGAATGCTCTTGCCTGTTATGAGACTAACTTGGATTTGTATTTTAGAAAAATGTAACTGATTCAGGAACCCCGACAACTTTCAAGCATTTTGAGACATTAAAAGGTGCCTAGTTGAATCACTTTTGAAAGTGAGATCATTAACAGCCTCAACCCGTAAAGGGCTACTAGAAGAATTTATCAAAGCTAAGCAAAATACTGTTATGCCAGGGGATAGTCATACGAATGAAATCAGTTTCATAAACAACTCTTTCCTCTCCGTTCCGTTCACCCTTTAACACGAATGCTTTAAAACCATTGCTGGTAGAATATGAACCTCCAGGTGAAGCTGGAGGAGACGGATCCTGCAGGATGGCACTAACAGGACCTTAGTGGGCACCGAGAGGAGGGAGCCTACCCATGAGGTGTTTCGGAGGTGGAGGTCTGGGAGCTAGATGGAAGGCAGGAGATACTGAGATGGGACCAGGGGAAGGGCAAGCCATGATGATTCCCTGCTTTCCCGTTGGGCAACTAAGTAGAACATTTATTTCGAGCAGTGATTCCAGCTCCGACTTGCAATATCCTGGGGTATTTCCAATGATCCTTGTGTGTGCATCCTTCTAAAAGGATTCCAGAATAAAATTAATGCTAACCTACTCCAAGCCTCTGTGTCTCGGTGGAAGACATCCTCATCTCCCAGGCCTCCAGACCCAACGCCTTGCATTTGCCTTTGACTCATTCTCCTCGTTCCTCCCCCACACGGGTGATTCATCTTGTCCCAGTTCCTTTACAAAACTATTTCTGCTGTGTCTCATTTGCCATTGTGACCAAAGCCCTTCAATTCTAGAGTTCCTTTAGTCTCACCTCTATTATTTATGTAAGCTTTTAGCGACCTCCTCGGTGCTGACTGTCCTGCAAATACCCACATTCTAGACAAATTACATTCACAAGATAACACGTTGCTAATAACCACC